ACTTATGCGCTGAAATGCTTAATGGTCTGTTTCAGAACATGCATGGTTCACCGGTTCTTTTCGACATTATACAGGTAAGCATTTCGTTTTGTACGGATTTTTTGCCTCTTCAGTTGTGTATGTAGTTGGTAACCGATCACATGTCCAACCTATCTGTGCCGAAGTTACCCTGCTCGATATGTCTGTGCAAGTTTGACGGATCCGACGATGTGAAGTTGATTGAACAGTGTCTACACCATTTCCACGCCTTCTGTTTCCAGCAGTATGTGCAGTATATGTTTCGAGAATCTCGGTCATCAGTCACCAGCGGAGGCTGTGAGAAGTCGGCGGAAATGTTAAAAGTAGGTAAGTCAATGTTTAAAGTCATTTGTTGGTCATTGTATACCATGCTTCCAGTAGATTCCGTAGAGTTGACTTTCAGTGCTCTCTGCTTATATGAATTCCGGCTATGGTCAGTGAATGTTTATCGTAGTACATTAGAGCTTACCGGCTTATTATGTATTTTATGATGGTATACAGGATGCTGCTATATATGAATACAGTAGTATTGCTAGTATGCTGCATAATCCGACCTCAACGCTGGAATGCAGGCAGAGGTGACCTTTACTGGTCAGCAGCGATGATAAGTTCTTTTTCCGGCAGAATTATCCATGATATGGAGGCGTCAGGCTGCCTGCTAGTCCAGAGTGGGATCCACGCCGTTCCTGTTAGGCCTAAGCCATACAGCGCTCATTAGCCAGCTGAACCAACGAGTGGACTCTAGTAATGACTAAAGCGATCTGTAGAAACAGGCAGTAGTGTCCTACGCATATCTTACAACGGCAATGCCTTCGACCGATGACATTTTTAATTGCCTTACTTTTCAGCAGGTGCCGTGCCCACTGTGTCGTAAACCGGTCGACATTTTGTCAGATTTCAACGCTGTTGTAAAACGCCCTGTGCTATTTGACGAGGCTACAGATGTATCGGGAATGGCCGAAAAGTGGGCGAATCGGTGGGCCAAAGTGTATGAGGCTCAGAAGCGGAAAGGCGGCATTATTGACGTCGAGGCTCAGAAGAAGCAGTTGCTGATCACTGAAAATATGGTAACTCGGATAGCTGTCTTTGATAAATTTTTAGGCTCATTGATCTTTATTTTTCATCGATTCTGTATCCTTTTTCGGTAACCGAATTACAGTTGCTACGATTGGTCTTATAGTAGCGTGTAATCGCTGTTGTTTCAGACCGTGGATATTGCAGCACTGGAACAGCCATCTGCTGTCAGCGTAGAAAACGCGCAACATGGTTGTAATACACGTGGCAGTTTCACCGTGAGTATTTACGTAGCGGTTAAAAATGAAGGATGAACTTTTTCTTTTTTTCCAGGCAACCCCTTCCAGACACCGATTTTTCAAAGCTAGTGGTGGTCGCGGCAGTCGTTCTACGAAGCGTTTCTTCCAAAGTGGGCGATGAAGCCCATCGTTTTCGTTCCCTTCCAGTTTCTTTACTTTTTTTCACTCGAATGTGTTGGACACGCTTACCAAAATTGTGCTACTGTAGTACAACGAAAGCGAAGTCTTTGTGCAGATAATTTTTCCATGTTACCATGGTTTTTAGTTTTTGTGCTAGATTTTATTGTTATTGGCTGAAGGCGGCATAAGATTTTCACATTCATATCACATACTTCTATATGTTCAAAGCGACTACTTTCATTCAGCAACTACCCTATGAAAGGGCAAGCGAAATACAATTACAGGATGAATATAGCATAACCATTTCTGCAAGTTTGTTGCATCTCACGTAAAGAAACAGAAGATTGGCACAAACGAACTTGCATGACCATCACCTGCATCAATAGAAAACGCATGCAGTTATCGGAACCATTGTCTTGCTTTAGATTTATATTCTTGGTAAAATGAGCACTGCGGGAATGGTTATTCGTTTTTTTCTTGATTGGCAGTCAACAAGGCTCATGCAACAGCTCAATGGTTACGCTCCTGCTGTGTTAATCGCTTTTCACCAGTCACTGTTCTGATATCATTTGTTACTGAGACTTAAGAAGGTTGAGGAGCAAAAGCGTGACGATCAGATGTTAGTTTTGCGCATCAAAACGCATTTAGTTGTTGATCGTTCGGCACTTTTTGCTGAAGGATTTGGCATGCATTAGCGTGTGTATCTTTTTTATGTAGTTTTGAAAACAATCTAAATGCATTGCAATTGTATTCATTGTCTGATAATGGCGAAATTTGCACTTTTGAGGACAATGTTTGCACCTCGAATAAATTCAAAATTTCACTTTCATTCTTATTATTCGTTTTCCACTTTTTACACAGTGCGAAGTCTCGAAGAGTCAAAACCTGCTTTCGAATATTTAATATAGATGGATAGGCTGGCAACTGTTAACACCACAGGATTCATATCGGAACACGTTTTTACTTCAGTCACGCGATTACCACAGTATTATGTACATAACAAATGAACTGCATAAAATGACATTAGAATATGCATAAAAATGAACCATGCGTATAGGTTTAGTAGTAAACGATTAGTTTAAGATACCACCGTGCGGCAATATTCTGATATCAGCCCCACTAAATGTATGTTACGCACCTCGCTTAAATCTTCTGTGCATAGAACAATAGCGGTGGTGTTGAATTTCTCTTATTTACGTCTGAACTTGCCTTGAAACGCTTCCTTTTAGAGTAGTTGATTGCTTCTTCTATTAGCCGCTTAGAGTAGCTATTGTTCTGAGTTGCATTTCCTAGCTAAACTGCGACTGATGTCTTTCACCCAACATGAATAATTTTTGGTGAACGACATTTGGTGAAATTGTATTGTGCTGACTAATAAAATATTAATAAACTGGTTCCTCTCTGAATGACGTCCAGTTGTTTGCTGCTTCATTACCATTGTGAATATGATTTCTTTCGGTTGCAGGGTGTTGGCATTATCCAGAAACAGCATTCCTGTAGCTCTTTCATTTTAGCCTACTGCTTGAGTAGTAGATTTAAATTTTTTAGTCAGAGGTGTAGAATGCCAGTTTTTTTAGATGTTTCATGACGATTTCTGACAGACCAGGTGTTTTAGCATAGTTTGTCATTGAATCTGAAGTAGTTCTAGTCCATTAGACACCTCTTC